ATGGAATAAATTTAATTTAAATTTACTGGGTTTTGACTCGACTACACCTGCTAGAACAAAAATTTTTTTATTGTAATTTATTTCTACCGGAAGCTCACTTAAATGCAACGTATTTGATTCTTTAAAATCATTAATATCAACAAAGAAAAAGGAATCAAAATGTGTATTATTCTGTACAGAATATTCACTAGCAAATGATTCTAAATTGTTAATATTTAAAATATCAGAGCTGTGCCTTTTTTCAATTTTTAATAGTAATGGCTTTTTAAAACACTTTCCCAACAATTCTACTATCAATTTATCCATTGAAATTCTACATGATAAAATTCCATTACTATTATGAAACAAATCCAGGCAAATTTTAATTCTTTGTAGATGTAACTCGCTTTCGTTTGCACTTTCCAAGTATTCTATAACTGTCTTCATGAAACAATTTTCAGTTTTACAATTTTCAAACAAATTTTTAAAATAATTGTACTGAGTATATGCAAATGCACATAGTTCAAAAATTGAATCAAAGATGCAGGAAGTATCAAAAGTATAAAAGGTTGAATCATATTTGATGGGGTTGCCCAAGTTGGCATTTTTTAATGTGTTGACTTTTCTCATTTTAGGTCTTTTGTGCCTCTCGTCTAAATCGGAGCATTTCTCTAAATATTTCCCTCTTTGTTTTTCTGGGACTTCTATTATTTCCTTCCTCAAAACTTTATGACAATTTGGTGACAGTAGAGTTTTATTGACCAAGCTACTCATAGCTAAAGTCATGGCCCCTTGTAAAAAATCGTTGATGTATTGTGCTAAAAATGATTGGCACGTCGTCGTATGAATACCTGTTACATGCCTCACATCTGCAAATAAGGCTTCTGATCTTCCCGAAGTTGGAATTTCAATTTTACTTCCAAATTTACTTAACAATAAATTTGTCCATATAGGATATTCCTTTAACAATTCCTTGAAGTTGTGAAGAATTTTTTCACAATGGTATTCATTGTCATTTCCTTCAGAAGTAAGTTTTAATGCATCGCTGCAGTGCAATTCAAATTCAGATAAGATATCACTAGAATCATTATCATCATTGTCAGTTTCTAGAACCAGAATGGCTTCAGTGCAAGTGTCACAGGTACAGTTTTCCTCACACTTTTTTACATCTTGATACTTAATGCATTCTTTTATATTGTTTATAGCCTTAAGAACATATTCAGACTTTCCTGGACTTTGACATACCAGAAAAACATCTTTGACCGTTGAGATAAATTGATCATAGTTCTTCAACTTACTCAAGTATCCTATAATACGTAAATAAAAATCTCTAACAGAGCTATCGTACGAACCGAAACATTTCCACCTTGTTATGGACTTGATCAAATGAGCTATATCTGCCCTGATAAAACATACTGGAACATCATCTCTTTTTTGTTTTATCACATCATAACACCATTGGAGGTAAGTCTTGAATGTGCAATTATTATAGCTCAGACAAAGCGCATTTTGAAGTGCCTTTGACCCATCGGTTACTACTTCTTTGATTGCAGGAGCTCCAGCATGTTTCCATTGATCTATTAAGCACTTCAGAAAATTTGCAGTGTGATACTCAGATATAAATTGGAATAGTGGATAAATGCTTCCTAAAAATATAAAAAATATTGTACTTAATTATAATTTATTACGATTTTATAGATATATTAATAAAAATTTTACCTTCAACGGACGCACTAATCACGTACAGAAATATGTGTCCAGTTGCTTCCGAATTATGGGTGTCAATTTCATTAACAAAACGACCGGCAGCGTCCATTGATACGGACATATTTTCAAAGGAACATATATACTTCCACAATTCTATTTGTTCTTTTGTAAAAAAAACTACGTGGAAAGGAAACTCGCCAAATGTTGAAATTGAATTATTCCAGTCGGGATTCAATTTCATCTTGATGAGTTCATCCATAATATTTTTCCCTGAAGATATGCCCTGGTGTCTGAGTTTAATGCTCGTCCGAGCTTTTCTCAACACTTGAGTCGTAAACACCAGAGGACCTACAACTTCACCAAAGTTGGCAAATGTTTTAGCTAACTTTCTCTGGTGTTTGAGGGGTTTGGTGTGTAGCAGACTTTCCTGATGTTGTCTTCTTAATTCTCCAGACAAATGTCTTTTGCCATGATGCTCGATAGGTTTCGAATTATATGTCATAACATCGACTTCAGGAGTTTCCGCCACAACAGATTTTCTACCTATCAAGAAATTTCCGCATTCGTGACAATTTGCCTCAAAATATGTACGTCCAGTTTCTTTCCGTGACTTGTAGCCAGTTTTAAATGAAAAAGCACACGGAAGACGTTTTTGAAAGTAAAATTTCTCAAAGACTCTGTGGGTCCATCCTTTTATAAATTTTTCATCATTCATAATTTTGCTCCACTCTTCAACACTAAACTGCAGGGTCACATATAACAATTCACATTTCTTGATCACTCTATTATCTTCAACGACGTCATTTACCATATCAAATGTTATATTAGCTGCTTTATAATGATCTAATAATATGCTTTTCAAACCATTCCAGTCATTCTGTACGTATAAGTACAATGTTGATGGACGTAAACAATTATTCAACTTTGCACTAGCCTTTTTCCACATACTGTTAGATTTGGGATACAATTTTCCATTTTCATTAAATACTACACTTGATTTCAAAGCTTCAAAAATGTCATTCACAGATTTAACTGGTACTTTTCCTCTAGTCTAAAAAAAAAAATGTTTCCTTTAGATTGAATATTTCAGGTAAATGATACATATTTATAAGTTCAAAACCAAAGAAAATGTCAAAAACCAGAATAGGTTTTTGACGGTTTAGACTTAAAATGATAAAATGAATTAAACATGTTTAATTTAAACTCACTGGATGATATTCCAATTGAACTTGGTCAAGTGTAGGCATACATTGATCCTCATCATTATAAAATAGTTCTTGATCAACAATTATTTCGTCTTCATCAAAAATCATTTCTTCTTCATCAATAATTACTTCTTCTTGATCAACAATTATTTCTTCTTCATCAAAAATCATTTCTTCTTGATCAATAATCACTTCTTCTTGATCAACAATCATTTCTTCTTGATCAATAATTACTTCTTCTTGAACAATAATTGATTGATCTTGTAGAGTACTATTTTCAATTTCTTGGATATCTCTTTGATCAATTGAATTGGTTTCACCATAATCTTGAAACAAGTATTCATCTTCATCGTCATATCCTCTCTCATAGGTAAGAAAGTCGTAATTGTCTTCATTTTCATTAGGCTCAGGACCAGGCAAAAATTCAAACTGAGCTTGTACTCTTGATATATCTGCTTCTGTCACTTGATCATTGTGCCGAGTTAATGTTACAAGTTGACTAAAAATAGAAAAAAAAAATATATCATTAATACAAAAACACAATTAGTAATTTTAAGTTCGGTATAAAAAATGTGTGACTTTACTAATTGATTTCATTTATCGACCGATATAGGTTTTTCACCTGTCTTCCTCCCAAGAAATTTGTCGAGCAGAATTTTTGAGCCCAAGAATCATTTTCTAGGAATAAAACAAAAACTTTTTAAGTCAATTCATGCTTTTTTCATGATTAATTTTTGATTCGTTACTCACTTTTTAAATTTAAGTAATCTTCAATTTGAAGATTGAAAACTTTCCAGCGATTACCTTGCCTTTGATTGCTGTTGATATCAAAGAAGATGTATGGCAATTCAATATTTGATGCAATTTCTAAATGAGAATTAATTCTCAGTACGTCATCTGCATCTACATCTTCAATGTTAACTTGAAGCAACTCTACAGGAGCACTGCAGTTAAAAGAATTGATTAAAACACTTCAAAAAATTAAAATATTTATAACACATTTTATTCATTGCCATTTACTCACTACTCTACGCCATCATATGAACGTTGCAGCGATTCACATGGTCTTCCTTCTAAAACTTTGCATATACAAAATTTTATCGCCCAAGAATCCTTACCTGTGAAAAAAAAAAATACATAAAATTTAGTTTATTACTTCAATAACACACATAATACACATAACAACCCTTTTATTGAATCATTTGAAAGTATATCGTCCCATTAGATGCTTAGAAACAGTCAATTACAGTGATAATAATCTGACCCTGATTTACATAAGATTTACTCGCATCTAAGCTACGTATTGTAAAATAACATGCAGAAAGCTTTCTTTCTACATTTGTGAAATTCAAAGCTTTCGAATATACATACTTTCAATGGGTTAAAAAAAGGGTGGTTATGTGTGTTTTTGAAACAATTTTTTTTTTCACTCTTATACTGTCTAATACTATAAATATACAATTAAGCCCCCTTTGACCCCTTCATAACTCCAACTTACTCAAGCGCAAATAGTCTGATAGAGAAAGATCCGATACTTTCCACCGCTTTTCGTTAACTTCAAAAAAAATTCTGAAGGTCCTTGCTTGCGCCATTCTTGCAATTTGTCAATAGTCACCACAGATATACAATTGTAACCAGTAATACAACTGGATGATTTGAATTGACAGGCAGGCAATAGTGATTAGCGAGCTGTTCGGGTTCAGCAAACGAACACTATATATTAGTAGCGCCACTTTCCGTGAAATCGGAAAAAAATGATATCTTAATCATTTTCCGCTCGTCGTCCTGTCGACATGAATGAGAATGAGTAAAAATGTATCCATACTACAATATAGATAAAATGTTTAATAAAATGCAAGTTGTTTATTATGCAGTTACTTATTATACTTGGAAATCAAATTTCAAGTTTAAGTTGGCATACATACTCGATTTGAATCGTTTTGTCCAACTCCATTTCGATATCATTAATTACAAAAAACCAGATGGCGTTATACACTATTTATATGACGTTCATATAACTGCCATTGATATACTATGGTGTTGGACTCCATTACTTTTCTACGATCGAGATCGCTGACTTAAATCAATCAAAAATTTTAATTGTTTATGTAAAAATACAAAATGCCAGCAGGACCAAGAGCTGTAAATCACCAGGATAGATTTTTAAAATTAAGCGGCATGGTAGATGATTTTTTCGACGAAGATGGTAATCTTTATGCAGAATCTCAAACAAAATTTGAAAATGGAATTGAATATTCGATATGGGAAAGAGCTGCACAAAAAACGAATTCAAAGAAGAGAAACATTTACACGTACGTAAGTCAAAACCGGGGAGCTGCAGGTGGTTTAGGAGTGTTAAGAAGATTGGAACAGTATAGGGATGAAAAAAAGGAAAAAGCAAAAAAAGAAACTAACCATTCCCCCGAAATGAAAAAACCGAAAATATCACAAGTGAATGTCGAAGCCATTTCAGCCGATTGCCCCGATCCTCTCGATGATAACTATAGCCACTCGAGTGATAATTCTGTCGAAGATGACGAGGATATAAATGACGAAGATGGTGAACAATCTTGCGATGAAAGTATTTTAGAAACAAATATTGTTTATGCGATAAGATCATTGAAGGAAGATATAGCGTACAAACGCTATGTTAGAACTATAGGGTGGTTTGACTTCCATTTAATATATTATGGATCAAATCAAACCCATTATTTTAAAGAAAATTTCAAAGGTATGGACTTTTTAGAATTTAAATTAGTGGATGGCATATTTAAAAGTATCGACATTTTCGGTCATGAAATTGATGTGCAATTGATTTTGATTGTTGGAAAAATTAACGGCCAATATTATTCATGCGCTCAAGCTATTTGCGAGAATCCAATAAAAATTGTCGAATTAATGGTAACGGAATGGTTCAGGGCAGGAACAGCTGCTTTCAACCGAATTATTTTTTGCCCTCCCTCATTTCCGTTGGCATCAACTATAATTAGTTGTTTCAATAAAAGAACACCATTGGGAGAATACTTCTCTCAATGCTTTCAGCTGTTAAAAAACTCAGAATCTCATGCAACAATAAAAAGACCTAAATGTATTGTATACGTACACATTGATTGTATAATATGTTGGGTGAAATCATTAAATTGTTTTACAAAAGACAGTGTGAGGCAGTTTTATATTTTCAGCATTATTTATTTAAGTTCCATATCAGATGCTCAAGCATTCAAAGAAAATTTATATATCATTTTTGAACAAATTATAAATGAAAACGATACGCCAACATCAAAAAAAAATAGAGAAAAATTAAAAGAAGTAATGTATCAAGATAATTACAAACGGGTAGCTGTAGAAATTGAGAAAAAGAAATATTGTTCTTCCTTCCTGTTTAATGAATTTCTGGAAAATATTTCCCTAATTCCAGCAGAAATCGTTGATTATTTTAAAAATCTTAGTGAAGGTTCATTAGAACCATCTGTATCATCCAGAAATAATAACGTTTTTATTGATGAAGAACCAAACTCATACTCCTGTGAAGCTTTTACCGAAGATTTTATTAAATTATGCTGCTTTTTTCCTTTCTGGACGAGTTTTATACACGAGCATACCATAAGAGCAGTTCGACCATCACCTTTGGAGTTAACTCTGAAAAATATAGATTTCTCTGAAAACAAATGGAACATCATAGACTTTTTTAAAAAAAATATTGAACTTATTGAATCTTATTCAACAATAACCGTTTCCAATTCTTCAGATAATGCAGATGAAAATGTTATTGCTGATTCAACTTTTCTTGAAGAGTTATTCTATGTTGAACGTTGGATGGGTTTTGGTAAATCGCACTATAGTGCTTTCAATAACAAAAATTCCAATGGCACCAAAGATTTAATTTCCTGTGAGAAAGTTGCAATAGTTCAATCAAATAAAAATACAATATCCCAGTCCAATAGTGAGCAATTAGAATCAGTAATTACAAAAAAAATTCAAAGTTTATCGATTCTTCAAAATGGTAATTCTCACAATGAGAAAACTGTCAATAGTATTAAATATAAATTCACGAATACATGTGCTTTTGACTCTATTGTAGAAATATTAAATTTTTGTATGTCCAGTAATCAAAATTTCAAATCATTTATAGAAAGACATCAATATAAATCAAAAAGTAAAAGAGATACTAAAAAATATTCATCGTTTGCTTCAACTTTAGTAAATTATAATTCAACAAATGGACTTAGAACAGGGTCAATATACACTTATCGTGCTTACATTCTACAGGGCCAATTTAAGGCTGATCAACATAATACAATTGATTGCCACAGCAATGTTACAGAATTATTTACAGATTTGATGCAAAAATATAATAATATATCTGTAAATTACAATTGTAAAGGATGTGCTTCGCTTACAGTCAAAAACATGATAAAAATTGAAAGCTTACAGATATATGATATTATCAAAAATAATTATGAAACATTACAGCAAGAAGTAGCAAATCAATTTATAAAAGAACAACTCAACTATTGTGATTTCTGCACAACAACAATTGATTCTGATGTAAATTATGACTTCAGCTCTGCGTATTATTTGTGGATAGCTACAGAAGATGGCTACAATCCATCAATTATACCAAAATTAATTAAGACCAAGTTAAATACTGTACCATTACTGCTTCATGTCGAGCAACAGGTATTTCATTTGATGGGCGTAGTGGAACACATACGTTATGAAAAAGATGGTCATTATGTTGCTTATTGCCAAAAAAATGGTATATGGATGAAGATGGATGATAATGCTCACTCATCTGTTCAATTGGACCCAAAAAATTTGCCTGATCTTGAGATTGCAGCTATTTTTTATGCAAACAAAAATCCGTGAGCAATTGTTAGTGAGGGCGTGAGCAATAGTTTTGTAATTTAAAGTAATATATAATAAAAAACTTTCCAATATTTTAAATGGTTATCGTTTAATTTTACCTCAAACCTTATCAACATATTATAACTGTTGCCAAGTGGTGGTAACTTTAAAGATTGTTGGGAACAGAAATCTGCTGATTTTCTATTTATCAGCTATTCTTCTTAATTATATTTACTTTTTTTTCACAATTATGATGATTTTTTACCTCCTTCTAAAGCATCACTGTTTATTAATCTATTAATGTACACTGGCAGTACTTTCAGTCATTTAGAAAGTATGAGCTGTCCAGAACTAGAAGGGGAAGTACGTGGCTTCAAGGCTTCTTTTACGGCCATTGGAGTTGAGTTTACTAATTTGAAAACAACTATAATATAAAAAATTTTTTAATTAATTACACCCATATACTTCACCACATATTTTTAATAGCAAAAACTTATGCCAAACTCAAATTAATGATGTGCAATCTTCTTACTTTATTACAATATATATAAAGTATATATATTCAAATATCATTTGAATATAAAAATTATTGTCTTGTGCTATTTTGTCATCATGTTTTATATCAACAGTTATAGTCTAAAATAAGTTACATTAGAACCCATTGTAAATTTAATTTTTAACAAATTAAACATAAGAAGATAAAATACATGGTCACAATCAATGCTAGTTAATTCCATGTCAGTTGCGTTTGACATGTATGCATGATGTGCATTACAGCATCAAATGCAACAGGTTTCAGAGTATAATAAATTAACTGAACTAAATTTAGAGTATTATTAGACACATCAATGATATAGTATATTATACTAATGATGATATTGCATATTATACTAGTGCAGCTAGTTTTTGGAAACGTATTATTCTGAAACAATTTAAAAGGACATGGTTTAAATATTATCATATAATTCATAAAAATGTGCGCCTGAATTTAGTACTCACTCTACAATAATTTTTATTGCCATAATCTCATTGGTTCTTTACATCAATTTGAGACATTTGATGCAATCCATTCTTTGCCCAGAGTGATCAAAGTGCATAAATTATTCAGCAGGCACTATAAAAAGTATAAATGAATAATATGGTCAAGCTTCGTTATTTAATCTCATGGAATTAACTGAAGATCACCTGCAGTTGTGAGTCTGCAAAGTAGACATTGAAATCTTCTGCCTGTAGTGATGAATTGCATAAAGGTACTGATAAAAGTTTTGCAAAAAACAGGAACTAGAACCACTTCCATTTAAATCATTGAGCTCAATAAAAAAGGAATTTGTATCTAAAAAATACTTTTGTTAATATTCAAGAAAGAATTTAGAGTAATACAGTAAAATTATATACCAACTTGTTTGACCATATCTGCAGATGCGCATATATTATATACAGAGTATCTTAGAAATCTAAGTGAAGCAGTTTCCTTGATCTTGAAGCAAAGACTTTTAAGTTGAGCAGTTTTCTTGATCTTCAACAACAAACTTTTTAGTGACTAGATGTGGAACCAGACCTTTTTGATTGCTTATAAATATTTCATTTTTTGTTCTTTGATCCTCTACGATAACTTGTATCTAGTAAATTATAAGTTATTTTATGATCCATTTTGGTAATGTAGCAGATGTTTTTTTAGTACTTGAATAACTTGCAGGACTAGGCATTTGTTCAAGATGAAGTCTTCATTGAGCTTGAGCATTTTGCGTATAATTCCCAGTTGGACTTGTAATTCCACTTTAATAAAAACTTTTTTGATTTGCACATATGTTCTGCTAAAATAATATTTGAATGAACACCAATAGTGCATAAAGTTTGGTCAAGATTATAATTTATGCATAAAAAGGCCAACAGGGCATGTATTGTCTACAGGCAATAGACAAGTGTTGTCCCAATAATTGAAGTCTGAACATACGCTTTGAGATGCAAGTGGAGGTCTTGAAAAATTTTGACGACTCATTGATGTCAACAGAACTTGGGAAATTTGGAAATTATTGGTTTGACATTGAAGAAAGGTAGTCACTTGATATTGGTGATGTCGGCAGCCTATTAAAATGAGATCCTTGGTACAAATTTGATGGATTTTGATTTACTAATGATTAATTTATCGATGAGGATCTTATAGATGTTTTCATGCTGGAGGTAGACTACTAGAAGATTTGCTTGATCGAAATGACTGACTCTTTATTTATCAGAGCTTGGAGCTTGGTAATAAGTATTGCTTTGAGGTTGCAGATTTAATTTTGGTAGTCTTAGGATTTGATTTATCACTGTGTTGCAATAAAATATTAATCCAAAATGCAGAACATTCTCATCCTTTCATCATGTGTAACAGCACAGTGATTCTTAAAATACATCTGCATCAATAAAAGCGAATCACATCAATCTGCATCACGTTTATCCACCTAATAAATGGTTTGTTTTTACTGTCTTGGAAAAAATTCAATAGCCTTAGCAGTCACTGGGACCTGATCCAGTTATCCACAATTAATAAACTGAAAAAAGGTCATCTTATTTATCTTTTATTTTCAACAAAGGCACAGTAATCATCAAAAAACACTTTCTTAACCAAACAGAAGACAAAAGTCATTTGATTCTATTTAGTTTTATAACAAATGCACTGCAACTGTCCATATAGCTGTAAAGCCTTTTGAAATGATCAATTCTACATTGCATATTATGAAAGTCTGCGATTTCGAACTTAATGACGTTCAACACCATGGTATATCAATGACAGTTATATATAGACATACAAATACAGTGTACAAATGTAGTGTATAACGCCATCTGGTTTTTGGTTATAATCAGCATGTATGCCAACTTAAACATAAAATTTGATTTTCAAGTATATTATCTGCATAATAAACAACTTGCATTTAGTTTAACAATTTAACAATTAATGTACAATGTGGTATGGATACTTGTTTGCTCATTTTTATAAACTTCGGCAGGACGACGAGCGAAAAATGATAATGATATATTTTTACAACTAATTCAATGGAATTATCTATACAATATTTTTTTCGATATCAAAGAAAGTGGCGCTACTGATACATAGTGTCGATTAACTTAACCAGAACGATTCGCTATTTAGATATCACTCTTTCCTGTTGTGTGACAGACGACAATTGTTCGTGATTACTAATTTTAATTCCATAATTGATAATTAAAATATTGCAAGGATGGCCGACTCAAGGACCTTTATTATGTACTTTAATGTTAACGAGAACAGGTTGAAAGTATCTGACCTTTCTCTTCAAGACTATTTGCGCCTAGGTAAGTTAGCATTTTCAATATCTTTTTTCAATTTTTTCTATTGATATATTTTTGCTCTTGTTTCTCTTGTTGTATTCAGTAATTATTGGCTAAAGGGGGCTGAAATAAATTTATATATCTATTTATACTTTGTCTAGTTACATACTTACAAATACTTAAATTAATTGGTATAAGTATAAAGATTTTCAACGATAAGCATCTAAGCTGCCTGTCATAGTGTTCTAATTGAATTTTATGTGGTTTCCTTTTGTTTGATGGAACATTGGCCATCAGCAAAACTTCAAGCTAAGCATAAAATCTACTTTTCTTACTTCTACAGACAATTTAACAGAATATTTCATTCATTAATGATTATTTTTGATAATTTTTAATAAAATATTTTGTTAAATTGTCTGTGAAAGTAGGCAAAATTGATCTTATGCTTAGCTTGAAGTTGCGCTGATGGCCAATGATCCATTAAAAAAAAGCAAACCACATACAACTGAATTAGAAACCTACAACAAGCAGCTTGGAGACGACAAATACTTATTGTTGAAGGTCTTTAGACTTATACCAATTAATTTAAGTGTTTGTAAGTATATAACTGGACAAACTATTTTCAAATGAGGTATTGAAAAAGGCTCATTTTCTGAACAAAAAGTTTTTCAGTTTTTCAGCTTAACACTTAAATATAAATATAAAATTATTTAAGCCCCCTTTGAGCCCTTAATATTATAATTAGAAATATAAAATTATTAGAGTCCTCTTTGAGCCCTTAATAGTAATAAGCTAAATGTTATATATTTTTTTTACAGGGAAAGATTCTTGGGCAAATCAATTTTGCATAAGCAAAATTTTAGAAGGCAGACCATTACTATCATTGGAGAGATCCATCGATGGCTTAGAGTAGTAAGTTTCTATAAAAATTGACATATTCGCCATAAAAATCTAATAAATATCTCAATTTTTCTTAATCCTTTTTTTTTTATTTTTCCAACTGCAGTGCTTCTATTGAGTTAGAGAATGTGGAGCATGTCGATGCCAATGCTGCTCTACAGATCCATGGCAACATCGAGAATGCACCTGTCTCAGAGACTAGAAAAATATTCTTCGACGTCAACAATAATCGATGGGAGGTGTTTGATCTGGCTACTCCGGATTATTTACATTTAAAAAGTAAGTAAAAAATATAGATCTTTCACATCAAAAACATTATTATTGAAATATTGAAATAATTATTAAATTATTGTAACTTTTTGTTAACAGATAATGATTACTGGGCACAGAAGTACTGCTCGACACGTTTCTTGGGTGGAGGAGAGGTAAAATACCTCTATCGCTCTTTGGATGACGTGAAATAGTAAGTATTCATTTATATCCGACTATTTTTATTTTACATATAATTTATATAATTTTTTTATGTTCAATTTCTAGTGATCGCGTGGCATTGATTAGGAACAATCAAGTACCTTATTTAAATATACATGCTCAGGTACGATCAATTCCTGATCACTTATTTCAGCATGTTGTTGCAGATGAGTTTTACGCAGATGAAGAATGACTTACAGAAAAATATTTTTTATAATTTGTTATCAAAGGCTAATAAAAGGGGCCTAGATATTTTTAATTTGTCTACACTTATAATATTAGGCTTTAGAAGGGAAACATTTTTTTTTGGGTGACAGGCTTAACAGCCTTTTATCATAAAACGATGACAGGCTTATCAGCCTTTTATGATAAAAGGCTGTTAAGCCTGTCATCCAAAAGAAGATTTTATTCATTTTTAAAGCCTTATACTGTAAGTAGACAAATTAAAAACATTTAAGCCTCCGTTTAGACCTCGAATGCAATACAAAAACTGTCAAATTTCAAATAGTTGTTCAACTTTCATGAATAAATGTGTAATACGTGCTCCTGAAATAAAGTAATAAAATTTGAGGTTTAATTGTATAAATAAATTTTTTTCCGTATTACCCCAATAATGCCTATGTCATGATTTCTGTGCAACTTTGAAAAAAATAACACTACTCCTAATGGATGACAATAAGCATCTTCATAGACATTTTTACAATCTTTTCTAGTAGGAGCACAACACCATTTGTTAGCTCCGTTTTTCATCCTTTATGCTAATAGTTGCAAAAATGCATTTTGTTTTAAAGCACTATGTACAGGTATTAATTTTTTGACACATACAATAGCTGTGAAACGGTTTGTTGGCTTCCAAATTGCTTTGCAAAATATTTGGATGAGCCTATGCCTCTCTTTTAGGAACTTTTGAGAAATATTTCCTCCTCTCAGATATAATGCATCTGTAAAATGCAAAGCATATGAAGTTGGTCCATTGTCGTCCGACCCAACTGATGCCGATTCTTCTATATTATATGCACATGGCACGCAAAATCAATCATTCGGATTTCAACAAATTAATTAGAATAATAAATTATCAATGAGGGTTATTTGTTATGATGTTGACATTCATGACGGTCAGAAGCTGCGCGCGCAAAACGTTCTGCGACCTGTCAGAAGAATAATACATGCATATTTTATTTTTAATTGCGTTTTGATATAAATCATTTTTTCGTTCATTTCTTTTATTATTCGGAATCCGCAAGTAAGGAGGAATTTTTTAAGACCTTTACGAGTTCCATAGGTCGACTGTGGACGTAGAAATAGCAGAAAGTGAATCTAGCGAAGCGAAAAAATTTTTGATTTTTAATTGTTTATAACTAATTAATGCTACCTCCGCAAGTAAAAATAAGGGTGGAGACATAATCCGCAAGTAAGGAGAAATTTTTTAAGCCCACCCCCGATCAAAAATATTAACATTTATAAAAAATTCCGCTAACTTAACTAGTCTGACGCCGGCAGCACCAACAAGAGGATGATGCTCGCGCGCGCCGAGTCCACGCCGATCTCGTCTTCTTCTAATCATTATTATTATTACGACGACTCGGCGTTGGAGATGCGACGGAGGCGGCGGCCGCTCACGGTCACGGGTTCGTTCCCGATCGCGTCCAATTGGGAGGAGGACGCCGACGAGAGGCTACGCAGACGACGCCGAAGAAACACCAGTTGCCCGGAGAGTAGAGAGTTTTACAAGTACTACAACGAGGAGCGCACCGACGCCGTGCTCAAGTCCGACGACGAGACGGCCTCACTGGAGACGGTCATCGACCTCGTCGATCGGCGTCCACGCGGCAGCGGTAACAGATTATTATACGGAAGAGCAGCGACAACGACAACGCACAATCGGCAAGACTACTACAGTAACGACTGCGCCGAGTGTCGCCAAGAGATGCAGCAGCAGCAACGAAGGGATCAACGTAGTAGCAATATCAGGCAGAAGAGGAACGTCGCGATCAGCGACACCTTGGAGTACTACGAGTACTCGATGGAGAGCGAGAGCCAGTGCAGCGCGGAGAACTGCGCGCTCGGCGGCCCGACTTGCGCCGACTCCGACTCTAATACCACCACCAATGCCAATAACTCGACCAATGCCACTACTACTACTACTACTACTATCTCTAGTACACGTAGGCCCTATGAGAGAGCACCCCGCCCTGGTACAGCTAGTTCGTTTGTCTATGATTCCCAAACACCTTCCGACACTGCTAATGACCCACTATTACCATCATCACCACCACCACCACCCGCATCATCATCATCTTCATCGCGGCCCACTTACGCTGACGATCATTATCTTCATGACTATTCGCCTCATCATCATCACCATCACTACCATCACCGTCATCATCGACACCACCACCACGACCCGTCATCGATGCCACGTGGCGACCACCAACACCACCACCACCACCACCACCACGGTGGCGGCGATTATTACGACGTCGACGACGACGTTGATGATCATTACGGGCCGTCGCGTCGCCGCCGCTCCCAACGCCGCCGATCGTCGTCGACGCGCATGGACGACGGCGATCCACACGATTATCATCATCGTCATCACGATCCTTCTTCTTCGTCGTCGTCGTTGACGCACGTCCCACCGCCACCTACTACGCGACCGTCCGCCGATCACGACGACGACGACGACGTGCGACAACGCGTCGATCACGGCGACGACGAACACGACGTCGTCGACGACAATAATCGTCGTCCATCGAATAATCGACGCTCGTCCTCTATGCCCGAAAGCAGCGAGTACGCGGCGAGCCAGAGCAGCTCCTACGAGAAGCCGAGCAGCTCGGATCGCAGGTATCCGGGCGACGAGCGCCAAGACCATCGGCGCAACGGCAGCGTCAAGAGGGGCCAGTTAACCAGGAGCTTCAGCAATTCCGAGGCGCCGGCCGACGACAAAATCGGTAAGTCGAGTCTCGCCATATTCCATTTATCTTTCTCTCTGTATCGGATTGATCAGATCTGCCTGTCTATATATATTAAGTATCATTATAATTTATTTATGGTCCAGACGCCAGATGAGAATCTTTGATAAATTTATGTTAATTTCCTAAAATGACTATAGTGACAAGAGGATCAGAATTATGCGAGAAGGAAATAATTTTCTCTTGCGCGAATGTAGTTTTGGAGCAGTAGAGCCTCCTAGCGGCAATTATTGTGAATAAAAATACATTTTACCCCTATTATTCGAACAACCGGTGTCTGTTTACATTGAGTGGCCGAGCGCCGGGCAATAAGAATATTTTTAGTTTATATTATTATCAATTTTAAACTAATATAAGGATTAATTTGAATAATTTTTGTTATAAATCGTTAAGGCTTTTTCATAAAATTTTTTAATTTAAATTGTTTTATTGTTGTAAAGATAATTGTTTGATTTACATTGTATGCCATTGAAAAGTAATGAAGCGCTGCATGCCAAGCACTGAACATAATTAATTTTAAAAATATGATTTTTAAATGAAAAAACAAATACATTTTTCGTTGAAAAGTGAATTGTGAGATAATGTTAGTAAATTGTTCACCAGTATCTTTTCTAATTAATTTATCTTAAAAGTATGCAAAATTTGCAACAGTTAAAAAACACCAAACATTTTTAAAAAAGCATAGAATATTCTTGTCGGCATCGTCGCTTAGCTCTGGCCCGTAGCGGCCAAACAAACGTTACCCAAATCTTGATTCGTCAGTTGCACGGTTATCATCTCGCCGCACTCGACGGGCAGCCGGTAGCTCGTCAGCTCCAGGAAACCGTAGACCGTCCAGCGCCGGAAGAATCCCCACAGCAGCGCCTCGCACAGGCCGGCGAAGCAGGCCTGCAGCGTCGACTCGGGCAGTCGCGCCCAAGCGCCGCTCGAGGCCGCGAACCTCGCGCAGTCCCGGTGCGTCAGCAGTTTGGCCGCCTCCTCTACTGGCAAGTGGCACAGATCGTAGAGCGTCAGGCCGGCCTTTACGGCTATCTTTCTCGTCGCCTGGGAGATCTTGGTAAAATTCTTCGGTTTTTCGAACGCTCCGTGCTTGGTGAAGAATCTCGCGATCGTCAGGGCGTTGCTCCGATCCATTTCGTAGCCCCTTTTCTCGAGATTTTCCAGGATGGCCATAGCGTCGGATGCTCGTTTCAACTTCAAATCGTACCTTCTGCTTTCGGAGAGTTTGACTGCCTCGTCGAAGTGAGCCTCCGTTGGAAAGACGAAGTTTGACAGATCAGCGCCACGGTTCAGGAGTAAATCGACCAAATTTGGCAACAGTCTCGCTACGGCCCACGCGAGCGGCGTCCGACCTTCCTCGTCCACGGCGTCTATCTGCACTAATTGCTGGACGTCGTCGTTGACCTCGAAGAACTTCCTCATCAAGTCGGTGTCGTCGTCGCGGCTGACTTGGCAAACGACGTGAAGCGGCGTCCATCCTCTGGCGTTCCTCGAATTCGCCGCGGCGCCGTTTTGCAGCAGAATCTCGGCGGCGTTCTTCAAGCCGTGGTACAGAGCCAAGTGTAGCGGGGACTCGCCCGCGTCGTTCCGAGCGTCGACCAGCAGCGGCCGATCGAGCTCGCGACACATCTCGATGAACAGCTGCACGAAGCCGTCTGCGCACGAGCGTCTCTGGTCGCAGACGGTGTGCAGCGGCGTCGATCCTCGGGCGTTGGCCAGGTTCGGCTCGGCCCCGTGCTGCAGCAGCAGCCCGATCAAGAACTCGGAGGGAAACGCCTGGGACAGTACCAGATGCAATGGCGTATTGCCCAGCCGGTCCCGAGCATTGACGTCGATCCGCTGCTGCTGCTGGATGCCCGCGACGACGTCGAAGAACAGCCGCGCCACGTCGGCGCCTTGTTTCACGTTGCACAGGTAATGCAGCGGCGTCGAGCCCTCGTCGTCGACCGCATTGGGATCGGCTCCGTTTCTCATCAGCAGCGGGATCAGCTGGGTGCGTTTGCCGCTGGTCAGTGCCACGTGCAGGGCCGTTCGACCCTTGCTGTCCCGAGCGTCGACTCGCACCTGATTCGATCCTTCCACGCCGCTGATCCTGAACAGCATCTCGGCGAAGTCGCGCCAATCGTGACAATCCCGGCAGATGAGGTGCAGCAGCGTGTTACCCTGCGCGTCGGCCACGTTCGGGTCGGCGCCCTTGCGCAGCAGCAGCTCCGTCACCTGCTTGTTGTCGCAGAGCACGGCGCAGTGCAGCGGCGTCCTGCCCAGCCTGTCCCTTGCGTCGAGCAACACCGGTCGGCGTTGCTCCTCGCCGATCTCCAGCAGCATCTGGACCGAGTCCACGTCGTCGTATCTCTTGCTGACGATGTGCAGCGGCGTCAGTCCCTCGGCCTCGTCGGCCAGATTGGGATCCGCGCCGCGTCTCAGCAGCAGCTCGGCCAGCTCGATCTCGTTGTAGATCAGCGTCAGCTGTAGCGGCGTTGTCGCGTATCCCGGACAGTCGATGTCCAGCTGGTCGACCTCGAGGAACTTCTCCACGATGTCCTTGAGGCCGTAGCGGCAGGCCACGTGGAAATGCGTCAGGCCGGACTTCTCGTCGACGTAGTTCGCCTCGAACCTGACGTAGATATCGAATAGATTTCGCACGACCACGGCCTTGGTGGAGCGATGCACGGCGGTGGTGCGCCCCAGCAGTATCTCGCCGCTGTCCGGATCGACTTTCGGCACGTCCTTGTAGCCGGTCTCGATCACGAATTCTACGAGTGGATCCGGCTTGAACGCGTCCCTGTCGGACACGACGGACTCGATGAGAAGCCAGTCGATCTCCTCGGGGCGAAAAAAGTCGCGGAGGTTAGGCAGTTGGCCGTACCAACCCGCGGCCAACGGATGAAAATGACGGAAGAACTTTTTTCTCTCCATTTCGATCTGCCAATTGGTACTTTCTCGCATGGATTTCAATGATCTCAAGCAGTCTTGGTTTATTATTAAAGCCATCGTTCCGCAAACTCGCGTTACACCACACACGCGGTCGATTTTCGGTATATAAAAAATCTTTGTCACTTTTTTTTTGTAGCGAGAAAAACACTAACTGCACTCGATGAGAGTCTTCTCTTGTTCGTTACGCTGCGGCGTCGTAGCGTGTACTGAACAGCTGAACTATACGTGCCGCGATAAAAGTGTACGTTATGCGCGGCGAGCAAGCAACCCGCACGAACCGGCACAGTTCGAAGGAAACAAGTGAGTGTCGAACTCGAGAGAGACCGAGTTACGCGTGACGCAACATACTATTAATAGCCGTATACGTAACAAAATCGAGCGGACGTCGCTTGCGTTACTTGCCGCGCAGCTAAAGCGATCGAGAGCGCTCGAAAAAGCCGAAAGGAGCGGCTAGACCCCCATCGCGCGTTCACATGCCTCGCTCATGCTTGCGGCTATATGCTTCGTGTAAATGCGTGGATTGTCAGCCGAATTGTCATGGTGCATCGCCAATAATTGACGATAAGGGAAGTAATTATATATACCCTGAGAAAGTTATTTTGCCACTTGCGAGTTCGCAATACTCCATCTGTTGATGGAATCAAGAAACTCATACCAAAAAGATGACCCTTTTAATTACGACAAATAATGTTACGATATAAAACGTATTTCGAAATATCGATCCTTATAAATTTTCCGATAAAAACGAGTTATATTTTCACAAAGAAATGTACAGATTGATATTCAAAATATGCTTTATATCGTAACAATATTTTTCGTACGATTAATCGTAACCAAAGGTGTCGTGTAATTATTTAGCTTTCTGATATCGTCAACAGATGGAGTATTGTGAATTCGCAAGTGGAAAAAAATTTTTCAAAAAAAAATGGAAAAAAAAATATAAAAACTCTCCTCTTCGTCTTGGTAACATTCTGGGCCTTGACCCTTGGTTACAGCTGGCGTCTGGACTAACAAATTTCTATCTCCAATTTAAAAAATATGCCCGAAACACGATGAATTGTATATAATGATCGTGTTCTGCACAGACGGCAGCCTCAGCGACACGGCGGTAGGTCTGCATCCGGACGACAACGCGAGGCGCGAAAGCAAACGATCGTCGAGCAACAAGGGAGGCGGCGCCGGTGGTGGCAGCGGAACCGACGGAGGAGGAGGAGGCGGGGGCGGTAGCAGCAGCGGCGGCAGAAGCGGTGCCGGTGGTCAGTACCAGTCCGGTAGCGGCGGAATGGGCAAGAAGAGCAACAGCACCAGTCAGTTGTCGGCAACAGGTAATGTGTTTCACAAAAGCTCGTATCGAGTCGCGGCTGATTCTTGTTATTACTTCGAGACAGATTTATGTAATGTTGAACAGCGCGACTCGCGGTGCACTCGAGAATAATTTAGACTTTTTTCAATTTAGACGAGGATTAGTTTGAAAAAAATAATGTTTCGCATCCGTATACTCGACTCGGTCGATTCCAATTGGTTCCAATTCACAATTGTCTCTCGTTCGCGCGAAAAACGCACGGCTGCTGACGAATTTAGGCGTCGAATCGGAAAGCAAAAAAAAAAAAAAAAATCGAAATGTCAAAGGTGTCCCAGTTTCATCGGTACACGAACCGACGCGCAGATCTCGGAGAGCTTGCAGCACGCATCATCACGTATACTCTCTGCATACACACACACACATACACGCACACATGACAGACTCACACGTGTGCAAGCTGCTGCTCTGATTAACTGCAATTACATTGCATAACTAAGCGCCCTTTGCGAGCGAGAGTGGACTGTTTTTTTTTCTCTTTTATACTAATGAGTCTGTTGTGTTCGTCGCGCAACCTGTCGCGCGCCTTCTCTCTCGCACACCTCTACCATTACGAACTACCACGACGAAAAACAGTGGGCGAAGAGGGCCGGAAGCGCAGGCTCGGCTTCGGCAAGAAGGGCAAGTCCTCGTTCACCGTGCACAGGAGCGAAGAGGTGCTGCCCGACCAGCAGGCGCAGTCCGACAGCGGCCGTAGCGCCCGACAGCCGAGCTCGGCCAGCAGCGACGGCGAGGCCGAGGGTAGCGGAGACGGGGACAGGTCCGAGACGATATCGCAACTATACTCACCTATTTTTTTTTTTTATTTGGTTTTTTAGCGCTTTCAAATACTTATACTTTTTTTTTTATCATTCGCCATTTTCTTTCGACGATCGCTTTTGAAAATAAAAGAGAGAAAACTGAAAAATACGATGGACGTTCTCGACATCGATATTCTCGTATTATCCAAAGAGTTCGTGCAGATGACCATGATCGACCTGGAGATAGCGCCTTCGACGTGTTCGCGGGCTTGCAAGAAAATAAAACAACACGTTTCAGCCATACAGACATAGACAAACACGATGTATAAAAAAAATATTTATTATCAATTACGTACTGGCATTTTTACTATACAACAATAGGTTTAAAGAAAAAAAAAAAAAAACAACACCATATGCATTATGTAAATTGAAACAAACGAAGTAGCTATAGTTGCTGTGCACCGAGCTCGCCTTTTGTACATGCCGCGAAACTGTTGCTGAATGTCCTGCTACTTGTGTACACTAATACACACGCACACTTGAACACACGATATTTATTAAACAAAACTTCGCTCTCATCCAGATCGAAATGAGAAAATATGTTTTTCTCGACAGTCCGACGCTTGACATTCGTAGACACACGTTCGATAAGCGCATTTGAGAATGAAAAATGCAGTAGAAATCTGATTTTTTTTTCAATATATTAACTGATAATTATGATGAATTTCGCACTCGAGTCCCGAGTAGTATCGGGACTTGGTTTGTTTGTTTTTGCATCGTTTATTTTTCGCCGATCGAGACAATCATACGCGCACTCGCAGTCGCAAGATCAACTGAATTCGAGAGAAAGTATAGTCCCTCTTTTGGGAAACTTGTCCGATTTCAAAGCTTTTGAGTTTTTGCTTCAATTATTTTTTTATTCTTTTATTTATTTTTTTTTAATAATAATAGAGTTTGGTAGCAGCCAGCAGGTAGCTCTACAATTGATACAGTACTGTGATGATTATCTAGAAATAAAACGAGCATATTTTTATTTGACATTTGACTTAGATTGAACATTAGATATTAGTTTTTTGGTAGTTTACTGCTGATGGCGTTTAAAAGCGCATGAGGCGCTAGATTAACACAAATTTAGTCGCACATTTATCATCCGATTTTTTTTTCATATTTTTTTTTGTCACCACTCACGCTAAGTATTGAGAACAAGGAGCATTTTTATCATTGATTGAATTTGATGTATGAAATTTGGATGATAGTAAGTTCGTAGATCGTAGGAATAATAGGAAAATATCTAAATTTTTCAAGATACGAGAGTCCCGTTCGTTACATTAATTTAAGTCAACGAGTATATATGATTATTATCGAAGGAGAAAGTGAGAAAAGAGGGTTTCATGGGCATTTCGCAGATAACAAAAACAGAACCAACAAAAAGTTAAAACGGCTATGAAAAGAAACGAAAAAAAAAAAGATTGACCTAGCCCTGCACCTCGAATCCTTTTAACGATTATACTGATTGGGGCGGTGTGTGTTGTGATTTGGCATTAATTAAGATTGCGCCGGCGGCGGCGGCGTCGGTCCTGCGGGTGGCCTCGTCGTCGGTGGATCGGCATCGGGCCTGTCACCGGCTTACCTGTCGAGCTCCGGCCGCTTCATAGGTAGCGGCACGTCGAGCGTCGGCCGCAAGCGCAGCACACCCAGTGGCGTGCAGCGCTCCCAGGAGGTGCTGCCGACCAGCGCCACCCTAGCCGGCCAGCACCATCGTCATCATCATCATCATCAGCAGCAGCAGCAGCAGCTACAGCCGCTGCATCAGTCCTCGTACTCGCTGCAGGCGCGTCAGCAGCTGCACAACAAGTTCGGTCGCGACGGCGGCACCGGCGGTGGCTCGTCCCTGGGCAATCTAGCCAATATGTTTAGCGACTCGGCTGCGATACTACCGAGCAACGACACGACTCACGCCGGCAGTCTCAACTCCATATCGAGCTCCGATGGCAGCTCGTAAGTAGAATCCTACAGACACACGGATTTAACAAAAAAAAAAAAAAATAAATAAATAAGACACACGCGCGCAAAAAAAAAATTATAGCACGATTTTCATCTCTATATAATCCAGCTGTCAATTGTGCCTATTACATATACATTATTATATATCTCTCTGTCTCTACGAACTGTCAAACAACCTGTTTTTTTTCTCTCTCTACCCTCTTGCTCTGTACCTCTTTCTGCTTTCTCTTTTCTATAACGAATTTACTGGTCTATCTTTCACTCCACCTGTTTATTTACGTCGCGCCCACTGACACGTGCAAAACAATTTTTTATATATAATACATACTGAAAATTATAATCACTAAACAAGCATAAAAAGGATTTTTTGGACCTGGAAAACAAGCCTTGACATTGATGTTACGTATTATATTTTCTTATGCTATTTTATAATTTACTTGGCTATAAAAGAGTCTACATACTTGTACAAAACAACATATGAACTTGAATATGTTACTTACCTATTCAACGACTTCAAGATGACTTTCTTTCTCTTCGGCTTGGGTGTTTTTTATTTTGCGTGAATTTTTATGTACGCGTGACGACACGGTTCTCTATACACAATATATTGTATCAACATATTAATTCATGAACTAATGATCGTGTCGTCACTCAATGATTATTTCCCTTAGTGGAAATCTTGTCGCTTGTGTATATCATTTTCTTTCGTACAAAATAATTATATATATACGTACGTACATATACTTTATATCTGTCATATATTTATATGCCTGTCTTAAACTTACTCTTTGTCTTCTTCTCACTTTCTCACTTGGCTAAGCGTATTATGTTTATAGGAAAATACTTATAATCTATATTGATTTGAATAGCTCCAAGCACGTGTTGTAACTGATGAAAACTTGATAAGAAAAAAAAAACATTTTCATTCTCACTGCATTCGAAATTTTCATTGATTTGGTGCAAATACAAGTAATTCTAAGTAAATATCTAAAAATCATAGAAATCTGTAGAAATAAGATAACATTAACCGTAATTTACATAATATGATGTCGAATATGAGAATAATGAAAAAGCCAATAAATTTATCTCACAGTTACAAACACAATACTTTATAAATTAATTTCCCAGCTAAATATATGTATACCGATCTTTATGAATAATTGTATGGTAATAAGAATTACAGGTTAGTAAATTTATATATTTGAAAATAAATATACTCGATGTCCCCGAAAATAAGCAGACCACCTTGTTCGATATGTTCTGTACTTATAAATCCATGTATCTATACATCTATGTTAAACGGTTGAGTATTATCCTATTGCGGTGTAATATGTCATTCCGAAAATGTAGGTTTACAAAAAATTACGTCCAACGGAAAAGTGATTTTGAGTGCAATGATCATTGATCACGCTTTCACTTGCTTTGCTTTTATCAAAATAATTGGATGTTATTCTTGTTGTCAGATAAGTTGGTAGTTATGATGCTTATTATTGCTTTCTTTGCTTAGTGTATAGTCTCGTAGACCGATTGTGTTGTAAGTCAAGCTTAATCGTTAATGATGCAAAGTAAATAATTAACAGTAAAAGAGTTGATACTGCTCCTGGTTGTTCCAAGCATGATCGTTAATTGTATAACACCAAATTTATTCAGTATCGCTCGAAATTTTGTCTCATTTCGAAAGCACCTTTACGAATGTTATATGCAACGAGTTTGCGGATAATACTTTTTTAGCGACGGGATAGAAATCGTGGCATGATTTCGAAGGAAGTGCCGAGTGAGTAAACGAGCGGCGCTAAAAAATAATTATCCCGCCAGTTGTGCACACAATTTTTCATTGCACCGTTTGATGAATATGCTATACTAACTTTCCATAACTACGTCTAATTTTACACTACAAAACAAATCTCACTCTTGAATTATCTGACTTATCTATATCACCACAGCATTACTCTATTATTGACATATATGATTCAATGCCATACCCAAACTTGGGCAAGCCAATCTGTAACCTATCTTTGAACCCTTCAAACAAATGTCGTATAATTATATACATCGAAGGCATTAAAATCCACGTCCGTAGTCATACTCGTCATTGTATCTTGAAGATGTGTTTTAAAATTTCCATTAAAAACCTTATTACCTCTACAAACCCAATTTATGCAACTTGGGTTTTCAACTATATTACTCTTGGAAAAAAATTTTTTTCGTCGTCCAAGTAAATGCAAAATCTGTCCCTATATCTGTGTAAGAGAATATCGATGCATCAACCTTTGCGTCTATCATCTACCTGTTGATTTTTTGTTTGTTCTTTCCTTTGTTTGTATTATTATTATTATTATTTTTTTTTTTAAATTAGCAAATTTCACCCACGCATATAAATATCTATTATGAATGTAAGAATTCATTTGTACGTACAATTATGCATAAAGTTGTGTGCTGCAAATGTTTCTTTACATCGTTCTTTTTCTCGCTCTTCTTTCGTTTTGACAAAGAAAAAGAGCCAAGCCGTCTCTCTCGGCACAGCTCCTTCATCTTAATTTCCATTAAAAAAAAAAAAAAAAGGAAAATATCATCTCTCTTTCTTTCTCCATCTATCTCTCTTTCTCGCTGAACAAAAAATTTCTTTCGCAGTAGCACCGAGCTCCAAATTCGATTCAAAGAAAATTAACGAACGTCTTCTTCTTCTTTTTTTTTTGTAAATTTTTTTTTTGACATCGATAACGATCTATAGCTGGTCACCGGGTTTGCGCACGTACACCGATCCCGGCCAGCTGAACGAGTTCATCGAGGGCCTGGGTCCCGGCCAACTGGTCGGCCGACAGGTTCTCGGCGCGCCGGCGCTCGGCGACATTCAGCTCTCGCTGAGCAACACCAAGGGCTACCTCGAGGTGGAGGTGGTTCGTGCGCGCGACCTGCAAAACAAACCCGGCAGCCGAGTCTTGCCAGGTAAGCTACTTCGATGCTTCTCTATATCGCTCGAGAACGGCTCATTTCTTACTTTGCCTTTGTTTTCTTTTTACAGCTCCGTACGTGAAAGTTTACTTGGTGAACGGTAAAAAGTGCATAGCAAAGGCCAAAACGGCGACGGCCAGAAAGACGCTGGAACCGATGTACCAACAGCCCCTTGCCTTCAGAGAAAACTTCAACGGATGTATTTTACAGGTACGCCAAGAGACCGATTCGTGCTGTGCGAATTTTACGCGAAACGATCATTTATTGTTTTTTTTTTTTCTTTGCAGGTGACGGTCTGGGGCGATTACGGGCGCCTGGAAGGGAAAAAAGTGTTTATGGGCGTAGCTCAAATAATGCTGGACAATCTGAACCTCAACGAAGTCGTGTTCGGCTGGTACAAGTTGTTCGGAACGACGTCCCTGGTCAGTGGGCCACCTTCTATTGGCTTGTCGCGACGATCTTCCGCGGCCTCCCTCGATTCGCTGAAATTTTGAGAGCACCTGCGACGCGCTTCGCTGCAATTCAGCCGCGCCAGTCTTTATTGATTCGTATATAAACAAATGACCATACTTGTACTACCTCGCTTAACATGATTTTTTGTTTGTTTTCTTGTTTTCCGTAAAGAGGTGCGCGCGCAAAGTGCAAAATTTCATGCGACGAAGCGACCAAGTGTCACATCGAGGGTGAGCCGTGCGAACGCAATACGAACTCCATTATTACATTCAGATATGATCGTTTATAAGCTAATATAGAACACACGAGTGATGAGCGATGAACGATGTTGGTACTTGATAATGCACTAGATCTTGACTAACGTCATTGTAGCACATCACACGTGAATCACACGCGCATAGCGGCGAATACAAATATAGAGCGAGAGAGATAAAGCAAAAATAATGCGAGCTCCTAGTTATCTCTGTATTTCGCAATTGAGACTGAAAATAGAGGTAGTGGGTAGAGCGGCGTGATCATGTTCCTGCAGAACGCCAGATTATAGATTTTATTCCAATAGGTATGCACCGTGTCTCAGAGCATCCACTTTCGTAGTTTTGCTTATTCGTTCAAATTCCGTACCGTACTTTCTCAATCCTTTTTGATATTTCCGATTATTGATGGCTGCCTATATTTTTGTTGTCAGATGTATTGATGGATCGTGATACTGAGCTGCTTTGAAAGTTGGTCGCTTGAAAAGTCGCACCAGCTTTAAGTCATTCTGAACATTTGTAATCAATCTATTTTTAACTATTGCTTTTAATATCAATTTGTGTTATTATCAAATATTAATGTATCACGATCTAGATCAATTAAAGTTTTTGTATAACTTTTTTTTTTCGTTAAACTATGATGAATATTAATTGTCTGTTTAAAAAATATTTGTACACTTGTAATATCATGAATAAGAAGTATATATATTTTTTACTTTGAAAATGTATATCCAGGGCTGTTGCTTGCTACTGCTTATTGATATTGTGTAATATTTTCCACGTTCGTATTTCACTCCAGTTCAAACAATTTCAAATATTTAATTGTGACAAATGTAATATAGGTTCTGATTTAATCTTAATTAGCTAAATTTTGTAATTTTATAAAAAAATGATAGAATTTATTTTTCATTTTTTGAGAGCAAACCCTTCCAAGAATAATGTATAAAATTATCGGGGATTCAAATAATTTCGCGTTTCTGTTCACTTTTTCGTTTAAGTACATTTTAAAAAATGACGTTTTCTATTATAGTTTAAAATAGGATTTTTTATAATTATTTTTTATGGATTTCCTGAAAATTTGTGTTTGGACTGAAACTCACAAGTGATATTGAGCTAAAGTATTTATTGAATTTTTCTGCAGAGAGATTTGATTTTCAACTAAGATGACGCCAATAACTGTCGATCTCTCAATAAATTGAGCCAAACCTCAACTCTATATTTGAAATTATTATGGTGGAATATCACAAGTAAAAAAATTTAACCAAAACACAAATTTTCAAGAAATGCACCAGAAAATGAATTTTAAGTGTAAATCATTATTGTATTACACTTTGTAAAAACATAGTATTTATTTATTCATATTTTTTCATTCAATTCGTGTCAATAATTTTTCAACTTTATTTCATAACGTCTCCTAACCGGCTGCTTTAAGTGAAACCCTTACTTTTTTTGAGAAAGTCCATAAATTCAAAGGTATGAATGTGTGCATTGCAAGCTTGTCTTTCGTTCGTTTGCAACATTGTTTTCTGTGTTTCAATGAAATGCCTCGAGTTAATTTGTGTTTAATAATTGGGAGTTCTTTATCTTTGAATTGAAAATGAAAAATCACGTTTTTTTAAAATATTGTTTCTACTGTTACAGTGAAACGACGATAAACGGATCTCTAATGAGTGTCAACAGCTCTATTTATTACATTTCATGTGCATAAACATTTATGTGCTGTGCTAATGAACGAAGATGACCTAAACTATAAAAACCGAGACTCAAAAATAAAGGTTTTATAAATTTGTTTGTGAAACTCTCATTACGAACTACAACTTGGAAAAACGAAGATTCAAAATGCTGAATTGAAGAAATCTTGGTGATTTCCGAAGACTTACGACTTCTCTACTCTCTGTGCAACAAAGAAAAAGTACTAAACAAATGTAGTTTTTACGAAGCTAAGAAAAGACGAACTTGATGTCGCAAACTAAATTTAGTTAAACTAATTATATATTATATACATAAGAAGATATAAATATATATATAGATATATAAAACGAAGAATATTATAATATACAAAAGTAATAAAGCAAGCGGGAATCTATATCTATATATATATAATTAAAAAATAAATATGACGAACTCATTGCTACAAAATAAACAAAGAATAATGTTGTATAGATGTATACACACAGACAAATCGAGACGCTACAATATTTGTACATATAAAACGTATGTATGGGTAAAACAAAGTTAGCAAAAATATTTAGTTAATATTATAATGGGTGAGAAAGAAAGGCTTTTCAATTATATACGAGAAGAAAAATTTATGATTTTGATATTACCAATCACCTAAATATAGAATAAAACTTCATTCGAATAACATTTAACATAATTACATTAAAAAAAAAAAAACGGCCGGACCGCACGAGTACGTCGAACAATACAATTGTGCTATTTATTGCTGCATTAAATAAGATTAGACACCACACGAATAATTTTCGTCAGTTTCAGTACTATAACAATATGCTCAAGTTATAGAGTTGTTATTCATAACACGTATAACTAGTATTATTGCAATCACTTTTTCGACATTGTTGTGTTTATGGTTATTTTGTTGTTGTTGTTACAAGCCGAAAATAAACAAATTTCTTCGTACAAAATTTATTTTTACGTTGACTGTTTTCACTGTTGGTGTTCTAAATAAGTACTAGCTATTACTGTTAAATTATGGTATCTAAAGAAGATTACCGAAGATTTTTTCATACTCATGAATGAGAACCAATGGTCTCAATTTTATTGTTATAATTACGAAATTGATCATATTATTTCCGAACGTTTTAATTCTGCAAATATTGGATTTAACGTTGAATATGATTGCCAATGAAATAGAATTCATTTGTACTGAAAATTCATGACTAAAAGATTTGCCTTTTTATGTGGCGAATTTGCGCACGTGTTGTGATTCAAAAGCTGTTACAAATTCAATATGCATGAAAAATTTAGCATAAAACATGAATATTTGCAATTGAACTTTGGACTCGTACCTTATGAAAAAAAATGTTTTGAATATGAATCTTAAAAAATGCGGTATTGCCTAAAAGTAAGTTTGTCAAGTCAATTCATGATTTACTGTACATAAATGAAACACACTTTTCACACTTCGGAACGTTTTTGTTAATCTTCATGAAATTTTAGTTCGTTTTTATTGGATCTCACAGTTGAGGTGACATACATAATATACTAATAGCATATGTGATCACAAAATTGCAAGCATCCAAGTTTTGCTATTATTAAAGTCATTATAATTAATCTTGATGTTGCATAAGCTATTTTATTTGTGGACAATGATGTTTTTTTCGTTCGAATTGAATCATTATACATGCCATAAATTATTTTATGAATTTGAATGATATTTTTATTTATTTATATTATTCTCACCCTGTTTGGTGCTTCAACAATCCTACTGCATCCTTAAATTCCATTATATGATTTGCACATTATTGATACAAACATATCCTGATGTGTATTACAAAGAAAGAATGATCTTAAAAATCGAGGGCAACCTTACTTGGATAAATAATTTTTTACTAGATTAAATTTGAAATTTTTCATCGAGTATAATATGAATTCGCTTTATTTATACTTAAAAATTACATGTTCATAAATCGATCATTCAAGATTTTCACATTTACACACGCTTATAGAAAAAAAGAGGAAAAAACTTACACAAGTAACGAAACTTCGTACCTATAATAGACGACCATATCGAGGCGCGACAAACCTGCTGCATATAGCATATGATATCTACATAGAGAAAAATCACGCGATATAAGACGAAATAAAGCTTGACAAATTAACTTTCATGTAGGATTAAAATGCTTTTTAGTGTTTATAACAAAACCATGAGAAATCAAGATTATCGTGTATAAATAATTGTAAATCGAAATTTATATTGTAATATTGTCTACTCAAAGTATGCGATATTATCATTAGAAGAATATGGAACATGATATAAGATTGATACCATTATACAGCTTCGCCGATCAAGTCATTTGAACATTTATTGATTTTCTTTATCGGTGTAACGTGTCCGATTTCTTTATTTTCTACAATAATCCACTCTCTCACGACCAATGCATCATCATTTTTCCGTCGCAGATATGATTTCACACATATACACGAAAAAAAATTTCTAAAACTTGCTTTTATTCAGCAGCATCGGTATAGTAATCGAAAATCGAAAAAGAAAAATCATTTTTACGAGCGAACAAATCACCGAGACGTTCAACGTACAATGTACAAAAAATTAAGCCAGTATCAATCAGCCGTAAGAGCACCCGATCTTAGTAGTCACGCAAAGAAAAAAATTATAATTATTATATCGCTTCACGAAATACCGAAAATATATCTAAAGAAAGAGAAAAAAAAATAACGAAATAAAACGAAAGAGGAAATCTTTTTTTCACGCACTCATTCCTATTACGAAGATCATATAAAAACTCAGAGCTCAAAGACTTCCACTCAATCTTATAGCAAACGATGTTTTATCATACTGCACATGCATGTATATTGATATAAAAACAATATTTATATATGTGTCTGTGTGTGTAATACCGTTGAATAATAGAAAAAAAAATATCGAGTATGCAAGTGACCAGGACTATTTCATATCTTCTATACAAGAATAAAAAAAAGTATGGGAATTTTGATAAAAATATGGTAACGCATTATTGGGGGATAAAAAATACTTTAGAACTTGTTAATTGTGGCATCGTAAAGAAAATACAACCGACAATGGTGATATAATACATATTATGGACGATTCTCTGTAAAATCGAATGGCCCAAAATTATTATTTTTTTGCTGGCATAGAAAACTTATTTCGTTAATGGTTATAATTATTATCAATATTTTAAAAAAACTCCAAACTCAGACATCGCAGTGGATCACACAAAAAACCAAAACGAGATAATAACGAGTGACAAAGAAGGTCCTGAAAATTTTATTAAAATTTGGGGAATTTCTTACATAAAAAAAACAATTCATGCTGTCAAAAAAAATTATTCCTTGGGACATTCGACTTCATAGAGAATTAGTCGTACATAATTTTATATGTATAATAAAATTAGATCTGCCGAGTATAAATGAGTAAAAACATCATCGCATCTTTATTATTAGTAAAAAAAATGAGTTAGGCGTTACTTTGTAGTTTTTCTTGTGCGTATCTCCGTTGAAAAAAATGTCTGAATTTGACTGAAAACTAACTCGATTTTCGACCTGGAAATTCAGTCAGATATTTCATCCAGATTTCCAAATCGATTTTCATTTTTCTAGCTAGATTATCCAGCGAGAAGAATGAGAATCGATGCGAAAATCTGTAGGTAAAATATCCAGCTGAATTGCCAGAAAATTCAGCGATTTTTTTTAAACAGTGATATGTATTGAACGAGCATTGCTAAAACCATTGATAAGCCTGCGGAGGCGGGTAAAAATTTAGATTCATAATATAAAATCATAATCGATGGAGGAACAATTTTTCACTCATTAAATAGTGCCCGATGAGAAAAGAAAAACGTAACGAAGTAAACGAAACAAGACAAGTTGAAAAGACAGCGTGCATGTACACCGCTTTACGATGTGATTACAAAGTGTAAGGCACTTGCGATTAAATATTGACATACCTTCGAAATCAAATTCATATAGTATTGTTAATAATTAAATTTATTAATAGGCTGCATTCATAGAATCTGGACGAATGTGAAACAATTCAATCTGCGAGTTCGTACCTTAAATAATAACGATGATAAAGTCTTTTCAACATAAAATAAAAACGATATTAAATACAGAGAATCATTGGACAGGCTGCTTAAAGATGAAAATTCAGTTTGAAACTGTCACGATATCGCTCAAGTTGTATCCCCTCGGATTGTTTTTGAAAGTCTTAGATTATTAACGTGGCTTCCTGGCACTGAGGCAAGAAAAAATAGTGCTTTTAAATTGTTAATTGGCATCATTTGAATGTACAGACTCATATTAGAGCAGTTACATCGACTCTGATATTAAATTCTGACTTTAGTTTTGATTGAAAACAAAATTGACAATCAATAGTATTCAATTTCATCTATGATTCAAATTTATGCCCCCAAATAATGATTAAAAAATGAAGCGAATTTCAATACTAACAAGATTTAGTAAATACAAGATATTATGGGGGATTTTTTATTTTACAAAGATGAAATACGAAAAAAAGCTTTGCGTCTATTATTTAGAACAATGACTGTTGTATCATGAAAGGATGATGCCCGCCCCCAAAGCCAGACATGGCGCGTGACAATAAAATGATTCAAATACCAATTGAATTTTAAGCAATTATTTAACCCTTATCTCCTCACAATGACTAATATAATTGAAAGGTTCATCATGAAATGTATTTAATTTTTATGAAAAATACTTTATTTCCAATTACAAATTACCAGTACTCATAGTTGCACCAGTATAGTTTTCCAGCACTTGGTAGTTTTAACAATTTCAAACCATCTGGTAAATAAGTGTTTTTATATAAAATATTTGAAACAATTTTTTATAGAAATATTTTTCACTTCAGCAACAAAATCAAAAACTTTACAGGACATTCATTCTGTTAGCATTCATACTTTGATTTTATTCTAACTTAAATACTATTCAATAAAACTTTTAATACATTAGTATTTGTACACAAAAGAAATTGAATGAAGCACAAAAATCACCTTATTCGAATGCTTTTGACCGGACAGTGATTAAAAAAAAATGCACTTCACTATATCAAATCATTATTGATTAAACTTAACCGTGTAACCACCAGTTGATTCATCTTTTTGCAAATTAAAATTATTAGTGGAAAGTCCAAACGGCTTTAAACACAGATCACCAAGAGATTTCAGTTTATCTAACATTTCAGTTTTCAATTTTTCCGTTACTATTGGTTCAAGCCTCTGAAATGGTATGATATTTCTATTAGTTTATGATCAAAATTAACATAAAATGAGTTATTGTAATTTAACAATGATGTACCTTTACAGCAGAAAGTGATTCAGTATGCTCAGGATCAATGGTCAATATTTTCTTGAAATCTGATAGAGCATCATCAAGTTTATCAGATTCTTCGTAATACCTAGCTCTTCTTGAATATGCTTTAACATAATTTTCATCTAATTTTATTGCTTCTGAGCAATCATCAATTGCAATAGTTTTAGTTTCCTGTTAAGTATAAAATTATGATTAATCTAATTCTTGCAGTACACTGAGAAAGTTTTGCCTTAACAAACATGAAGCATGTAAATCTAGTTTGACAGAAACGTATCAGAAACTTTGAGCGGTTTGGATTGAAATTCATAATGCATGCACTGATTTGACTAATAATAATTTGCCAATAGCGAATTTTTGAAGTGCAAAAAAACAACTTTTTTGTTATGCATAAAGCATCATGTTAGTTGATTTAAAACTCTCTCTATGCAGAAAAATCTTTTAAAAGTTACCTTTTTTGAACCTAAAGCTGCTGCTCTATTAGCGTAGAGAATAGCTCTTACTTTGGTATACTTTAATGGACACAATCTTAATCCTTCAGTGTACGTTTGAGCTGCTTCTTCAAGTTTACCAGTTTGAAATAAGGAATTACCTTTGGATTTAATTTGTTCTGATTCCTCTTTCAAATCCTAATGACAAATGATTTAAAAATGTACATCTGAATAATGTAAATATCAAACATTCTTAAAATAATCATAACAAGAGTTGAAGTAATTACTCACATTGATTTCGTCATCACTTAGCTTTGAATCGCGTTCTTTCAGCTGTTCCTCATCAATAAACCAAGGATTATTCAAATTTTTAAGGTCATCCTTAACATTTTCACCATCTGAGAATTCTGGTATATCAGGATTACAATTTTCTTTGCCTTGTAATACACTATCCTCTGCAAGACACGATTTGTCCAAATTTTGGGTTATTTCGTCAATAATTGACTCGTTAGAAATTTCACTCGGTGGCAGTTTAGAATCCATTTTTCTTGAGATTTTGACAGTTGTTGATAAACACAGTGTGAACTGTTCTTTACTATGTTCTTTATACTAGGTTAAAAGACAATCGAGCGATCTTACAAATGACAAAACTGCTGAGTGCGTCAATATTGAAGAGTCTGACTGGCTAATAATGTTATGGTTCACCGTTCAGAATAAAACAAATTCTTCTGCTATTAATTTTCGCAGACTACTCGCTACCTGCTGATACACTGAGTTTTAATTTTTTCTTTTGCTGTAATATCATCAGTTAATGCCGCATGCGCAACTGACAGACGAGATTCATTCACATGCACGTTGCAGTCGTCAGTGGACTGTTGCTGACGTTAGACTCTGTAGTTAGTGAAATAAGTTACGAAAATCAACAATTGCAACAGCACAATTAGTGTACTATTAATGTCGTCGGCTGCTTTTAAATAGGTAAAAAATAGCCAATTGATTCTATCTATGAAACTAAATTTGTCCTGGAAAAATTGCCTTTAATTTATGTTGAACACTTCAGTAAATGCTGTCTGCTTTTTATGATTTCTGTAAGGTTAAATTTATGAAAATTCCACTTACTTACATTTGTACCACTAAAGATAGATAACAAAATTATCATTTAATATTTCATTATTCTTCTAAATAAAAAATGTTGCATTTGGTTAGCTCATTATTCATTTACATTTGCATAATTTTTCAAAAAATGTTGTAATTCTGATCTTTAAACATTGCCACGAAAACAAGAGTTTATTTAAGTAAAAGAGTCATTATTTCCAATATCATAGTATTTAATGTAACAATTTTTGTTTTATTTTTAGGAAAAAGCATTTTTGTGATATCTGTACTTACATATTAAATAAATAGCTTAAGCACAATTACTATGCATCGAAAGTTACTCAAAACAGCTTGGAATTGTCAAATTTTAACTAAACGTTTTTATGCAAGATCACTCATTAGAGTAAGATTTGCACCAAGTCCTACAGGTATGTTTGTAACTCATTAAACTTTATATTAAAATAAATTGGAATAAATTAAAATTTTAATTCATTCTTGTGAAAAATTATATAGGCTATTTACACCTGGGAGGCTTACGAACAGCTTTATACAATTATCTTTTTGCTCGTTCAAATAATGGAGTTTTTATTCTAAGAATAGAAGATACTGATCAAACTAGAGTGGTGCCTGGAGCAGTAGAACAACTTCGAGATGACTTGATATGGGCTGGAATCATTCCAGATGAAGATCCTATCAGAGAGGGTCCTTTTGGGCCGTATATTCAATCCAAACGATTAGAACTTTATCAAGATCAAATCAAAATATTGTTAGCTAATGGCTCTGCATACAAATGCTTCTGTTCAGAACGCAGGCTGGATATGCTAAGAAAAAATGCTCTTAAGGAACGACAAATTCCAAAATATGACAATAGATGTAGACATTTTAGTGATCAAGAAGTAAAAGAAAGACTGAAAAGAGGAGAGAGTTATTGTGTTAGATTCAAGGTACTCTTTTAATGCAGAATTTTATTAAACTTTTATTTATTGAATTGAATATATCAATTTTAAACCAATATATTTCTATAAATTTCAGCTCACTCCAACTCCAGATCCTTTCAAAGATATGGTTTATGGGGATGTTACTTATAATGTTGCTCAAAATGAAGGTGATCCAATTATTCTAAAAAGTGATGGTTTTCCAACATACCATTTTGCTAATGTTGTTGACGATCACTTCATGGAAATTTCACATGTACTGAGAGGAGTAGAGTGGCAGATTTCAACTCCAAAACATCTGCTTTTATACAAGTAAAACGATATTTTTTAATACCATTGCTTAATAATTTCATAATTGATTTTCTAAAAATTTAACATTTTGATACAATTGTAGAGCTTTTGGATGGAATCCTCCTCAGTTTGGTCACTTACCTTTGATAATGAATGCAGATGGTACAAAATTATCAAAAAGGCAAGATGACATTAGAGTAGAACATTATAGGAAATCAGGAATTTTTCCTGCAGCCTTAATTAACTACATTACAACTGCTGGAGGAGGATTTAATCGTGAAACTGCTATTACTCAATGTTATAGCTACAAAGATTTAATTGAACAAGTAAGAATTTATAAGAAGCAGTATTCAGAACTCTTTAAAATAACTTGTCCAATATAATGTTGAATATATCTAAATTTTATTTTCCAGTTCGATATTAATAGAGTAAATGTTCACTCCAGTAAATTGAATCCAGATAAATTGTTGGAATTCAATAGATTAGAGATTTCAAATCTTTTGTCCAATGAACGGAATCATAAGTTTCTTATTGAAAGGCTCGTTCAGTTGATAAAAGAAGCTGTCCCAGAAAAGTAAGTGAACTATGATTTTTTTATCATTTTCAAAATTATTCAGCATTGTGACATTAATTGATCAATTTTAAATTTACTAATTAGGGTTTCTCACTCGAGCTTGCAATTAGACCCAGAGCACATAATATCAACATTGAAATGGGCCCAAAACAGAATTAATAAGCTCAGTGACCTAGTTTCAGCCGATTTGAAATTTTTATGGGTAAAGCCTGAAAATAATGATAATTTCAAGAATCTTAAGTATTTGGAATCAATTGAAGTTTTGAGCAAAAAACTTGAAAATATTGACGAAAATAATTTCTGTCAAGAATCTTTAAAAAATTACCTTCGCGAATTCGCTAAAACAAATAATGTTCCTTTTTCTGATCTTATGAAAACATTGAGGAGCCTTTTGAGTGGTTTGAAGGTAATTAGTTGTTACATTACTTTTTTTGATAATTATTAGTATTGCATTATGAACAGATTAATTTTTTTATTATTCTTCTTGCAGGAAGGTCCAAGTGTGGCAGAAATGATGGAAATCTTAGGAAGAGATGCTACTTTGAATCGTTTAAGAAAGTCTGCGTCTTAATGTAAAAATATTAAAAATGAACCATAGATGTACATAATTCAATTTAGTTAGGACTTGATGAAATTCTTTTTCAAATAGATTTTTCAATTCAAATTGTTTTATTGTTGTACAGATAATTTGTTGATCTGCATTGTATGATATTGAAATGCTGTGAGTCAATTGAATCGAGTCATTCCGAAACTAGGAAATTAGACATGCGCGCTGCGCATAATTAATTTAAAAAAAATATGATTTTTAAATAAAATGACAAAAGACATACTGCGTCGAAAAATGAAAGTTTTATTTGTAAATGAATTGTACAATAAACACGCAATGAAGAGCTGACAATTTTAAATTTAAAAAACTATCATGATTTATTGCACAAAAGTTCACAATCACGAACTTTGACCCGCAGCCGCCAAACAAATGTTCCATAAATCTTTGTTCATCAGATGATCCATGATCATGTCGCAGCACTCGAGTGGCAGTCGTTTGTGAATCAGCTCCCAGAAAGAATCCAGCGCCCATCGTCGGCAAAATCCTCCCAGCAGTATCTCGCTGAGGTGGGTATAAGAAGCTGGATTATAGTGCCATTTGAGGTATTTCTGAAATGTTTGCGATTCTCGCAACCTCGCGAAGTCCTCGAGCGTGAGTAATTTCGCCGCCTCTTTGGGACGAAATTTAGTCAACAGATCGTAGAGAGACATATCTGGAATCATCGTTATATTTTCCGCTGTAACTCCGAATCTATTGTTAAAATACCACGGTTTTGTCTCTTCACCGAACATCTTGTGCTCGGCGAAAAATTTCATGAACCTCATGGCGTCGCTTCGGTCCAGCCGGTATCCTCTGCTCTCCAGACGCTCGATCACGGCCAGAGCATTGGTCGCCGCGCCCAAACTGTCGCTGCGCCAGTGTCTCGCGTTGGTCTCCTTCGAGAATCTCTCGTCGGAGATCTCCTCGCTCGGGAAAACGAAGCCGGCGAGATCGGCGCCGTGATCCAAGAGCTGATCGACGGCGTTCGGTAGGAGATTGCGCACGGCCAGCTGTAGCGGTGTCCGGCCCGAGCTGTCTCGGGCGTCTACGTCGACGGTTTGACGCCGCTCGTCGTTGATCTCGAAAAATACCTTGGCTACGTTATCGCGATCGTATTGTTTTCGACAGATGATGTGCAGCGGCGCCAGTCCCTCCGCATTGGCTAGGTTCGGATTCGCGCCGCGTCTCAGCAGCAACGGCGTCATTCTCACGAAATAATCGTCTCGGAGCAGAGCCAAGCACAACGGTGTATTACCCTCGTTGTCTCGGGCGTCGATTCGTACGGTTCGTTGTCTCTCGTCGCTCGCCTCGAACATAATCGCCGCCAACTCGACGCCGTAGTGTCGCTTGCTAACAACGTGCAGCGGCGTCGATCCCGCCTCGTTGGCCAGATTCACATCGGCGCCTCTGCTCAACAGCAGCTTGGTCATTGGCTCGATGCCTCCTGGGCTCTGCAGCACCAAGTGCAACGGCGTGTTGCCCTTATCGTCCCGAGCATCGACGTCCACCGGCCGGCCCACGTCGTCGCTCACGTCGAAGAATCTTCGCGCGATGTCTACGATCTTGACGCCGCTGGGTGGGTTCGAGTTTTCTCGGCAAATGACGTGCAGAGGGGTGGATCCCTCGGCGTTGGCCAGGTTCGGATCGGCCCCCCTGCGCAGCAGCGACTCGACCAGCTTCGTACGGTCGCGGCCCAGCGCCAGGTGCAGCGGTGTGTTGCCCCGCTCGTCCTGGGCATCGACGTCTGGGAACGTCGGCCCGACTTCGCCGGCGATCTCGCCGACGGTCTCGCAGAATACATCCACCAGATCGTCGTCGTTGTCGTCGTTCCCCCAAAATCTTGTCCTATCGCAAATGACGTGCAGAGGAGTCCGGCCCTCCGAGTCGAGGTGGCAGGGGTAGGCTCCGGCTCGTCTCAGCAGCCAATCGACGAGATTTTTGCGAGAGCCGTCCAGTGCCAGGTGCAGCGGGGTCCAGCCGTTCTTGTCGCGCGCGTTGACCAGCAGCGGTCGACCGATTTCTTCGCTGACCTCGAGCAACCGCTTCGCGTAGTCGAAATTCTTATCCCTGCTATCCCGACACAAAATATGCAGAGGAGTCGATCCCTCCTCGTCGGCCGCGTTGGGATCGGCGCCTCGTCTCAGCAGCAGCTCGATCAGCGTCTTGCCCCTGGCCACGTGCAGCGCCGTCCTGCCCAGCTTGTCCCGGGCGTCGAGGCGCACCTCGCGCGCCACCTCGTCGCAGATCGCGAAGAACCGCTCGGCGAAGTTCGGGTCGAGCTTGCAGATCAGGTGCAGCGTCGTGAATCCCTCGGCGTCGGCCACGTTCGGATCGGCGCCCTGGCGCAGCAGCAGCTCGACCAAGCCACGGCGACCGACGGCGAGGTGTAGCGCCGCGGAGCCCTCGCCGTCCAGCGCGTCGAGCCGCACCCTGGGGAGAGCCTCGTTCTCGGCGCCGATCTCGAACAGGCGCCTCGCCAAGGCCTCGGCGTCGTCCTCCTCGTCCAGGTCGTCGCCCCGCTTGCACATGTCGTGCAGAAGCGTCGATCCCTTGGCGTCGGCCAGATTCGGATCGGCCCCGCGCCTCAGCAGCGCCTTGAGGGCCTCGATTTTGTTGTAGGCCAGAGCCAGCATCGCGGGCGAGTCGCGCGACTCAGCCGTGGCCGTCTGGCAATTGGGATCGTGGCCGGCCTCGAGCAGCCTCTCCACGATGTCCACGAAGCCGTACCTGCTGGCCACGTGCAGATGCGTCAGGCCCCGCTCGTCCACGTACGTCGCGTCGTCGCGGTCGTAAAGCTTGAACAGCTGGCGGGACTCGCGCCGGTCCCAGTCTTCGTTCTCGTGAAACCAGCTGAACGACGCGTGCACCGGCGTGCGCCGCGACTGCAGCACTGGCTTGCCGTCTTTATCGAGCTCCGGTCGGTCCCTGTAGCCGGTCGCGATCACGAATCTGGCGAGTTTCGAGTGCCCGTAGTTTTCGCCGTAATGAAAATCTTCCGTGAGAAGCCGCTCGATTTGTCGGGTCGTGAAGATGTCTCGGAGATTCGGGAGTTGCTGGCCCTTCCATCTTCCGCGCCTCAATAATTTTCTGAGCTCGTCGAAACATTCGATTGTCTGGTGCTCGATCTGTTTCTCCCAATCGCTACTATCTCGCAGGCGTTTCAATTCTTCCAAACTCGGGACTTCGCCTTCGTCTCCGCTGCTGACATAGTCGTCGGAATCGTCGTTGGACGACATGTCTGTTATGCACTCGTTCTCGCACTTATACTAGTCACTTGAAAAATCGAGTAATTTTCAATTATATCGCGAGAATCACTGTTGCCGATTTTCGCGAGGATCGAAACTATTTTTGTTTTATCGTATTGACTGTTAACACTTACTAGAGGCACGATGTATAAAAATTCGTGTGCGCGAGCTACGACTGCTGTCGTTGAACTGAACAAGTCCCAACTCGCAACTCGCGTCGAAGCTATATTAAACACGATGCTCACGCAAACGTTTGTAATGCGCATGGGCGCCGGATGTAGGCGGAGAAAGGGATCACTTATCTTTATTGCTCGTATAGCTTTCGATTTCTTTCGGTTTTTTCAATCGACCGATGGGAACTACCTTCTGTCAAAAAGTTACCTCGACATGACATTTTTATTCTTTATCGGAAACGCCTTTTTCCCATTATCGGAAAAAAATTTCTCGAAAAACATTTTCTTAGGCATTTTTGACTGTGATTCAATTCCGTGAAAGCGGTTTCGATTTGAATATCAACGCATTTGAGCGTCGGTCCTGATTGATTCAAAATATCCCACGGGCTTTGTAATCATGATATTTAGAAAACTAGTTATCGCTTGGCGCGCGATTTTTAATGAATTTCAGAAAAATTCTAAAGTGGCCAATTTTGAGCTTCTGAAAAAGTGTCATAAAAGGCCCCAATTTTACTAAAAATTTTTTGGGACAAATCTGTCACCAAGAACAAGTTTTTCATATTTGCTGAAAAAAAATTTTTTGTTCGTTTGACTTCGCGGAGAAAATCGGCCACATATTAAAATTGATTTGGAAATTTTAAATCAAATAAAATTCATTGTCAAGGCCCTGTTTTTTCAAAATTGAATTGAAAAGAATATCTTTTAAGAAATTCGAGTATATCTAAATTATTAAGAGCTTACAGGGGGCTTAATTATTTTTCATTTTTCAGTTACAGTACTAGGCTGTAAAAGTGAAAAAAAAATTTTTTTTCAAGAAAACACATGATAACTCTTTTCGATACCCTATTTGAAAATATTTTGTGCAGTTAAATATTTAGAAACAGTTAAGTACATCAATAGAAATTGTGTTGACACACAACACAAGCTTTAAACACATCTAAGCTACCTGTCGTAGAAATCCAAGAGCGAGCATCAATCTAATAAAGACTGTGTGGTTTCATCTTATGGCTAGCTTTTGGTTGCGACCATGACCAATTGGCTATTGAACAAAATGAAACCACATAGTCTTTATTAGATTAATGCTCGCTCTTGGATTTCTACGACAGGTAGCTTAGATGTGTTTAAAGCTTGTGTTGTGTGTCAACCCACTTTCTATTGATGTACTTAACTGTTTCTAAATATCTAACGGCACAAAATACTTTCAAATAGGGTATTGAAAAGAGTTATCATGTGTTTTCTTGAAAAAAAAATTTTTTTTCACTTTTACAGTCTAGTACTGTAACTGAAAAATGAAAAATAATTAAGCCCCCTGTTAGCCCTTAAATTATCTGTCTATGGATGTCGTAAGTGAAACTACTCTAAATTTAATTTATTTAGTTCAATATTTTGTTTCAATGAAACATTGTTTTAACTCAGGCCCATTAAGTTTCTAATTAATATGGATATTCAATACTTTTTTAATTTTCTGAATCAAACGTATAATTAAGCAAGGTTTTGCGCTTTCGTAACGATTGTTTAAACTTTGTTAACTTGACGTAAAAATTTTACTATTTATTATTAACACTGCCGCATCGTAACGTGTACTGACTCCAGATTTTTATTTACGATAAACATGTACAGTCTAATAAACAGGTGTCGGAAGTTTCAAATGTTTTATTTTTTTCGTGAAAATGTAATGGTAGTCTATCACCTCGGCGTCGTTATGTGTTATACTGACGCTATACATACGCCTCGATCTAAAACTATATTATATTACAGAGGGAGAAACGCGTGCTCGTAACCGTAAGAGATATATAAGTAGCGCAACCTATGTACACCAGTTTCACTTTAAATCTGTAATGACGAGAAAACGGGGAAACACAGCGAAGTACGGGTCCCTCGAAGGTGTAAGATGCGAGACAATAATTATGCTGAGCATGGCGAAGTCGTTCTACCTGCAGCTTCGCATTTTTTGTCAACTTTTCGTGTCAACGGCTTCTCGTGAACGGGTGGGCCGATTTGCATTGTCACCACTTATGCACTGATATGCATTTTTAATGAAAGTTGCATTTTTCTTCAATAACATTGAAACAATTATTTTAGTTTGGTGTGAGAATGTTTTAATTTCATAGAACTTCGAATGTGGGTATCAGACAATTTTAGCGTGGAAAAAAGTTAGAATGAACTGTAAAAAGATCTGAAGGCTGCTGTATATGACAAAGAAGATTTGATGACCTAGAAACAATTATTTGAATTAAAATCGTTACAAGAAAGTCCGTGCTGGAACAAAGAAAGAAAGTCTCACGGTGTTGCAAGTTTCTAAATTCAATTCAATTGTTGGCCCAGCAGATAAAACGAAAGGTTTCATAGTCCTTGCCATTATGAATAGTAGCATTTTCCGAACTTGAACAGGATAACTTTGAAGATTCATTTCAAAGCTTAAAATTGAAAATTATTTGCTCAATTTAAATTTTATGGCCGTTAGTTATGTGTAAAAGTTACCAAGTATAAGACAGAACTTCACTTGCATTCTTCAACATTTGACTTGGAAAACAGGCAAAAATTATAATACACATAACAACACAGAACGCAAATAACATTTTGGCTGCCCCTGCTAAATCTGTTTCCATTAAGATTACCATCTAGAAACAATACGTTCTGTATTTTAGATTCTATTCTTATAGTACAATAACTCAAATCTAAAAACTGACTAAAAACATACCGAGGTAGATGTCAAGATAATAGTACTACTTGCTCCAAATAATATAACAAATATTAAAATATCGCTCATACCACGAGTGATATTGAAAAACCTAAAATATAACTTATTAATTTATTAGAGTCGTTTCAAATAACTGTACTTACTCAATACACATTTGATGCGAATTAATAAAATATTGGAGCTGTTCATAAATCCATATGTTTTCTTTGTTGTCATCAATCAAAATTTTAATATTTTGCGTCAATTCCATTTTATGTAAAATGTATCTGTAAAAAATGATGATCATAAAAACCTTATTTAACCGAAATCAATTTTTCAAGCTTTCGCGTACTCCAATAGACGAATTTCGCCAATAATGAACGCTACACTAATACATAGAAAAGCATTTATTGAGCATATCAATAAACCAAAAATAAATAATGAGATGAGCTGGACTGTGAAAATTTGGTAAAAAAATTTATCTTCGTTGATAAATAGTTCTGTGTGAAGCGGTAGAGTTTTTTCATAAGTCTGATTGCCTGGAAGTAACCAGTTTAAAATGGATGGAAGAATAATCGGTGACACTCCAAAGCTAATGCATAAAATAACTATGGACACTAAAAAATTTCCAAATTGATAAATCAATTCTAAACACAAAGTTACAAATCTTGATGTTTACCCGACAGAAAATTGGTAATGTAGTATCCTTTTTTCACCGTTTTAAACACGATCTCTTGAGCGTCTTGAGGATTAAAATTCCACATTTGCACCATCAGTAATACACAAGCATAAATCTTTTTATAATTAAAAATTAAATTGCGTTATTTTTAATAAAGCACAATCTGTTTGCTTTATAAACAAACATGACACTTACTTTTTTTTTGCATAGTACCATGCACAAGTAACTAAAAATCATTACAAAGTTACATGTTAGTTGAAATATACATTCAACCATGTTTGAGCTAAATATTTGATTTTTTCGTGAGATTCCGTCGATTTTCAACATCTTAAATAATGATAATTGTTTTAACTTATCATAAATCAACGAAATCCTTCAATGATCACTTACTGTGACAGTAAATAAGGTCAATAAATATAAAGTAAGAAAAACATTTCCAATTATTTGTATGCTCTTTTTTTGAAAAGGGTATAAAAAAGTAATCTTCATAATTCTCGTTGTCCAGGTAAAATTTGTTTCCCATAGAGTTTTGGCTAAAAATAAAAGATTTTTATCGCCGTTAGTATCGATACAAACTTCTGCTGGCATTATTAGCTTTTCGTGATGAAATGAACGTTAGTTGAAAATTATTTTCTGAAATCGTTATATTTCACCGAATACGAAGTATATGAGGAGAGTGTGTTTTTATAAGTTTGTTTTTATGTTATATATGTTTTACTATATCACATGTGAAGGTGTTACGCATGAATATTTTATCGTGTTAAGCCAATTTTAAAAATTACGTACCCTGCGATTTGTTTTATTTAAAATTTTAACCGTATGAATAATTTGTCACACATAAATGTTTAAATCGAGG